AGAAAACTGAGGCCTGGTGAGGCTGTGCACGGTCGTGGTCACAGGAAGACTGCAGGCTGCGGCTTAGGTCTTTGGGCTTTCTTTACAATATTCCCTTTAGAACAAAAAAAAATGCTCTCACTTCCAAAAGCTCTGCCTCTTTACCCTGCACAGCTCTCCCATTGTGTGTGATGATGTCCCAGTCCTTGACTGGGGGCATTAAATGGAGCTGGTGACTGTCCCTTCAAGTCCACCTGTACAGAATAAAGTCTGCCATTTCTACTTTGCAGCTCGCTTCCTCCTGCATGCAAGTAGCTTTGGGAAAATATCTAGCTCCATCAAATGTTCTATCTGCTATATCATTGGCACCCACTAGGTCCGGGAATCCCTGGGAGCACATTGGGTGGGTTTGTAGGAGGCACTTGACCCACCCTAATTTCTTCCATTCCCATTCTTACACTCTTAGCTATGGCTACTTCCCACCTGCGCTCAGCTCTGGCTCATGTCTAGCTCTGCATCCATGCTGAGTGGCTCCTGGTCCTCTGGAGTCATAAAACACCAAGGCCAAGCATCTTTCCTCACAGGGATGGCATCCTCAGTCCCTTCCATGCAGTGGGTCTCACAGATACCTCTCCAAGCATTTCGTCAGGTCTGCTTATCAGGGCCAAGGGGTCAGTTTAACAGGGCTACTGAAGAAGATGCAAAGGCCCAGGGTTTTAAACAACAGAAATGTATCATCTCATAGTCTGGAGGCTGTACGTTTGATTGTAGAGCATTGGTAAGGCTGTTTCCTCTTGGGAGTTGTGAGAGAAACTCACACAGGCTCCTCTCCTGGTGTTATAGCTTGAATGTGAAATGCATCCCATAGGTTCATGTGTTAAATATTTGGTCCCCAGCTAGTGGAACTATTTTGGGAGATTCTAGAAATTTTAAGGAGTGGAGCCTAGCTGTAGCAAAGAGGGCAGTAGGGTATGCCTTTGAAAGTGGTATCTGGTCCCTGGTTCCATTTTCTCCCTGCTCCTTGGCTGTCATGAAATGAATAGTTCTGGTCCTCCATGCCCTCCTGTTCTGGCTACTTGAGAAAAGCTAGATTCATTTTTTAAAAAGGAACATCAATCAAGAAAGACTGGCCTGTAGGCAAGCCTATGGCGCACTTTGCTGATTGGTGATTGAGGTGGGAGGGCCCAGCTCACTCTGGGCAATGCTACTCCTGACCTGGTGGTCCTGAATGTTGTGAGAAAACAGGCTGAGCAAGCCATGGGGAGCAAACCAGTAGGCAACACCCCTCCATGCCCTCTGCATCAGCTCCTGCCCCCAGGTTCTTTGTGTTGAGTTCCTGCCCTGTCTTCTCGTCATGATTGAGTGTGCTATGAAACTGTAAGCTGAAATAACCCCTTCCCTCTCTAAGGTGCTTCTGGTCTTGGTGCTTCATCACAGCAGTAGAAACCCAACAGGACACCTCCCCACTGGGATGACAGGCCTCACCAACAGCCTAGCAACAATAAAGTAGACATGATATACCGAATTTATGGGGCAAAAATATGTTTGAATTAGGAACCCATTATAATTAAATATAACCCCCCTCCATAGTTTCATGAGCTGGTTGCCTGATGATGTCTTTTCAGGCAGTCATGCAATCTTGAATACCCTGCAATAATCAGTGAACTCATAACATGATGTCATTATTAGGAAGTGATGAAAAGAGGGAGCTGGTTTGAAGGTGTGGGTCACTGGAAGTGCACCTTTGGGGGCTATGTTTTAGCCATACTTCCTTCCTGTGTTCCTTCTGCTTCATGTCCTCCATGATGTGTTCATCTTCTTCCTCTACACATGCCCTGCCATGTTGTGTTTCTGTTGCACTCAGAAGCGATGGAGCCAATGATTATTCATAAAAATCTCTGAGAGTGTGGACTAAAAGAAATCCTTTAAGTTGTCAAATATTTGGTCACAGCAATGATAAAACTGATATAGTAGCCATTTTTTTTATTTTACTAAAGGGGTTCACAGTTAAAAACATATCTTGTGTCTCCAAAAAGACTTCTGATGGTGTTGGAACTATTGATTTGGGGGTCCTCAGAGATAACTGTGTTTTTCATTGTGAGATGGCCATGAGCTTTTGGAAGCCAGTGAAATAATGTAAAGAGTTTGAGTATAAGATGTCCCCCATGGGCTCATGTCTCGAATGCTTAGTCCCTAGCTATTGTCACTATTTGGGGAGTTGGTGTAGGAGGTAGGGTATGGCTGGAAACACTGGGGCATAGTTACAGCCCATGGTGAGACTCCCCAACCCACCCCAACTGCCATGAGTTGAGCATCTCGGGCATTCCATGCCCTACACTATGTTGCTCTACCTCCCCAAGTGCTCAGGAACAATGGAACTGGCTGTGATTGACTTACACTCTCCCCTTGGCGTTGTTCTCGGCAGCGTTTTTAGCATACCTTCTCATCATAGCTTTGAAAAGCTGCTGTCTAGATTTGACATTCCTTGGCCTTGCCTTTCATCTTCACATGAGGTTTCCCCATGTATGCATCTCTGTGTGTGTGTAAGTCTCCCTTTTTAATTATAAAGACATCTATTATATTGGATGTCTGACCCCAGCAACTTCTTTTTAATGGGATCACCTTTGGGAACAACCTGTCTCCAAATGAAGTCCCATCCCAAGGTTTGGGCATGAAGGATCACAATACAATCTATGAAGTTGGCATTAAGTGAGTTAAGTGAAGAACTTGTCACCTAACCCTTCCCTATGCCCTTCCTCCTCCTCAGAAACTCTGGATATTAGTTCCTACTGGGTCCTTGTGACAGTCAAATAAAGGGATGCCTTTAAGTGCTTGAAATGGCATTTAGTGCACAGACATTCTCAGCAGCTCTTGTGATTTCTGCTATTAAAATCTCAATCAGGAGAGCATGGGTTTGAGATGTTTATAGCACTTTGGGTTTTTATAAGCAGACTCAAGTTCAAATTACCAGACGTGGCCTAGGAAAATTAAATTAAAGCTGGCCAATCAATAACTAAATCCAACCAGTGAAATCAAAGCTGGCCAGTCAGGAACTGACAGCTAACCCCTAACCAGAACTTCCCATTTTCATCATCCTGCTTCGTATAACATGTTGCACCATTGGCCTTCACATCCCTCAGTGGAACCTTGAATCTCTTATGATCTGGTGCTACTCAACTCATGAACTACTCTGCAAATTTAAAAGAAAAAACTTTAGTGTACCATGAACCTAAGTTTATCTTTTAATGTTGTGCTCCTGACCTCAAATGATTTAAAATGAGATTATGACTATTGCATTTCTTAATATAAAATACTCTGTAGCCTATCTCCAAATCCTTTAAGAAAGAGAATACACATGACATATGGGGGCAACCTGCAGTGACATGTTGGGAAAACCGGCCTGGAGGGATAGCTGCCACACGTTCACATCCTTCATGTTCTGCTCACTGGCACTGTTTATCTGAAGGCCTGGCATGGGCAGTGAGGTCCTGCTTGTGGACCAGAAGTTAGCATCTCTTCTAAACCCTTCAAACACTCCCTTCCCTCTGCTCAGTCACCTGAGCTCTTCCTTAATGCAGATCCATGGATGCGGAACTGTCCAGAGAATGCCGGAGGAGGAACTGTGACCTTGTTCTGATTTCTGCATCCATCCTCTTTTATTGTTTGAGAAATATCTAGGACACTGTTTTCATATCTTTCAATCCAATCCTCTCTGGTCCAGTTCAGTTCAGATGGAGAGATAGTTACAACTCCCAATTCCATTTTCGGTTTTCTCAGTGGCAAGCTGATGAGCTCCTTGTTCCAAGTATGTGGAAGGAAGGAGCTTTTTAATCTACCTCGAGGCTGCGTCTGTATGCTCCTCAGGGCTGACGGAGGGGAGCCTTCTGTGGGACATGCTTCAGGATGTGAGCTATATTGCACACCAGAGAACTACACCCAGAAAAACAGTACAGCTAGTGAGAGGTCGGGCAGCTGCCTTTGGGAGACAGGTAGAAGAAAGCGGAGGAGCAAGTGGCGAACGGGCAAGGCGGGTAGAAGAAAGCTCTGGTATCGGCAATGCCAGCCTGGGGCCGAGCGCCTCCACCGGAGCCCCTGGCGATATTCCTAACCTCTTGTGATTTGGATATGATGTGCTCCCAGATGCCCCGGTGTTGAAGACAGCTCAGTCCCCAGTTGCCCATGCTACTCGTTATGTGAATCCACGAGAGACTGTTAAAGGATCTCAAGAATTTATTAAAGTAAATAATCGGGATAACACGCTCACTGATACAGAATAAGGAAGACGCAGCCGCTGATCCAGTTGCTGAGTCCTGCCATTCTGCCCAGGGGAGCTGGGGACCCCAACCGCAAGCTGCTCCATGCTGCCTGACCTGGTCCTCACCACCCAAGAGAGCACTGGACTCCTCTCTCTCAGCTCTTAAAGGGTCACATGCGCAGACAAAGCCACGCCCTAGGCTTATACCCCAAAGCCATTGGCTGAATGGAATGAATTCCCACAACAGCTGCTGATAAGAGAGCTGGCACTGAAGGATGCCGACTTCATGGATGCACTAATCTTCTGATGAGTGTATAGCTGAACTGGTTGTTAGGAGTGGGGACGATGGAGAAACTGAGTCACTGGAAGAATACCTCTGAAAGGTTAAGTCTTGTCTTAGATTATTCCTCCCTTTCTTTTCTCTGCTCTGTGGTTTACTGTAAGGGTGAACATTCAGGCCATGCTGTGTGCCACAGAGGCAGCTGACGATGGACTGAAATCTCTGAAACCGTTAGGCAAGAAATGCTGTCTTCCTTTTAAACTTTCTCTCAAGCGCCCGACAGGAACAGCCTGTGTGCTTGCTTCTGGGATGGAAGCAGAGGCAGCGTCAGTCTGCTCCCACCCTCTCTCTGTTTCTGCTTCCATCACATGCGCTGCTCTCCTCCACACTCTGTGCCGTGCTGGACCAAAACTTTAAGCACAAGTAGACCTTTCCTCCCTGAAGTTACTTTGGTAATGCATGATGTCATAGTGGCTTTGGTGATGCATGACATCACAGTGACAAAGATTCAGTCGTGTATTTGAAAGTGTTAGGGCATGAGAGTGAAAGTGAAAACGCTGTATTCACTGCATGTCTGTCTTTGAATCAGTGTATCTCTTGAGCTGTCCAAATATTCTGCTTCTCACACTGGCCAACTGAAGGGAGGGGGCCTTCACTGAGCTTCCCAAACAGACAAGAAGTGTTATCTATATTCCTGGAGCTACGACTTTGGTGCCAACTCAGCTTAGGCCTGGTACATAATTCAATCTTCTCAGATAACGCTGAACAAGCATAGCAAGCATGAGGCAGTGTTTGGATGCTTTTCCTCAATGGACGTTGCTTTGGACAGGGACATTGAGCATCTGCTAGGTAAGGTGTCTTGTCATCACGAGGCTCTGCCCTTCCTCTATTGCTGCCTACTCCCGGATCCAGGTGCAGCACGTCTGTGCTGGCTCTATCACTTTCCTATTTCAGAAAGGAAGACATCATTTGCTGGTGTTGTCTACAGTAGCTACAGACATCTTTCTGGTCTCTAGGCACAGACTAGTGGGCCTGGCTTGGTCTTCTCTGGAGCCCCTCTGCAAATCGGGGTCAACAGCTGCACACTTCTCAGCCTGTTGCAAGCCCTCTGCTCGCAGCCCAGACCCCAGAAGGAAGTCAAGTCCTTCGCAGATTCTCAATGGGAAGAAGAGCTCGGAGTACTTCTACCTTACAAAATGCTTGGTTGGAGTTCCCTGCTTCCTCATCACACCAACTCAGACTTTAACGATCGTCCTTTGTTGCTTCTTACCCTCCCTGCCAAGATTTTAATAAGACCGACCAAATCCAAGGGTAGCTTCCACATCACAAATGCCATCTTCACACTAAAGATGGTCAGAAGTGAATTTTTGTTAAATAAATACATTTGGGTTTGCTGTAACTGCCGATGCATTTGATACTAAGGGATGGATTAAGTCCTGTCTGAGTGGAACCGTATTGTGACAATTGTTCCATGGCATTTCTTCTATTTACTATAAAAACTGTTTGCTTGCATCTAGGGATGGGCTAAGTAGCCATGCAAGGATATTAATTCTATGTAGAAAATCCATGGTGCTTCCCTTCTCTTCTGCAGTTGAAAACTCTCTCTCCTTTCCCACTCTGTAGCCTTGTTTCCACCATTTGGCTGAAGGGCTCATGCTGGTATGTCACCTGAGCCAGCTTGTGGTAGGTCTCGTTGTATAGTCTGCCCAGTAGCAAAAGGGAATCCCAAAGTCATGCAACAAACCTTCCCGGGGAAAGCTGGAGTTGCTGGGGAAAGCTAGAGTTGCCCATAAAATCAGGTTTTATTTATTGACCAATCAGAGCAACTTGACATACAGACCATCCCCCAGCACAGCCAAGTGCAGAGCATCTCAGACACCTGCACTCAGGCCCGTGGTCCTAATCATCCTCTATGCAGACCTGCTGGGTAAAGCCACGAGGAACCAATGGGAGTTGCCCATTGACTGCTGTTGAGTGACTGAATAACCTTTACTCTTCTCAATCACGGTGCTGGCTTCTCCTCTCTCCCTTCCTCAAACTAATGCCCATTCATCGGCTGGATCATTCACTTATGTGTGTTAATTCAACTCTGTCCTACATGAAAAATGGTGACAAAGTGTCAGGACTACACATGAGACAATGTTATACATAACTGCTGTAAGCAACAGCATTTTCTCCCCTGGTAAATACCAGTCCCTAAGGGAAAGCAGCTTGAGCCATTCCCTGTGAAATCCAGGCTCTCTTTACTCTGGCTGTCTGGGCCAGGTGTTGTTCATGATTAATCAGCTAGATATAAAGAAATGATAAAAAGAAAACAAAGGCTACAGAGACGCTGGAGCTTCTTCCTGCCTGCCTAATCTGAGAAGGAAGAAGAGGACTTTCTATTATGTATCCACAGTCCTCAGGCAGCAGAATCAGAGCCCTGGCTTCCTCTAGGACAGAGCAGACCTGTTAACAGCAGACTTCAGAATGACAAAAGTGGGTGTGGCCTCTGGACTGTCTACAGGGTCCACTGTGGTCATCACAGGAGCCTGAGAATACTGCTTTATAACCTCGGTGGAAATAAGCCATTCAGTCCTCTGCAGGTCGTCCATCAATGCCAGGCAACAGAAGTCGGACAACATAAAAGGCACATAGCTTGCAGACACCGGCGAGGGCGACTCATCAACCACAGGCCATGGGGAGGCAGACATGCACCACCTGTGCACCAGAGACCCTGGGGGACCTGGAGCACATGAGCCTTCCCATGGGTTGAACTGCTGTGTAGCCCCTACGTTCCTTCCTCCTGCCTTCCGACTTCTGAGAATCAGGACCTTCATCAGTACCTCTCCTCCTTTCTGGTCAGTGGCACATAGTCATCAAAACCCTTGAACCCATCCCCAGTTCACCCTAAATCCTGTTTTATAGTTTGCAAATGGTTAAGAATAACTTGTACTTTGTGGAATTTTTTTTAGAAACATGATGACTAAAATACACGCGATTGGGAACACAGATGAAGATGAGAGTAGAAAGATTGTAAGAGTCAGAGGACCAGGATGCCTGCGGCAAAGACTCTTCTGTATACACCAGGGCAGCTGCACTCATGGAATCTTAACAATCTGGTTGCCTCAACAAGACCTGTGCAGTCCCAACACCAGCCAGCATGGATAGGGGAAGTAGCACAGGTACGCACGCCGGAGCGAAGGGCTACTGGTAGTCAGTGACTGCCTTTAGAAGGAGAATCAGTCTTCTCCAGGGACGAGTCTGCTCAAGGTTATCCAGTCTCAAGTAGTCAGCCCTAAATACATAAACATATGAACAGCACTAGATGGACTCAGTGGGGACTCTGTCTCTGTGTGTGTGTGTGTGTGTGTGTGTGTGTGTGTGTGTGTGTGTGTGTGTGTAATAATTTGAAATGGAGTGGGGAAGACAGAGAAAAGTTAAGGGAGAGAAAAGTAGGGGTGGAAACACAGTACTCACACATGAAAATCTCAAGAACTGAAAAATAAATTCATTTACTCATGAATTTTATCCTTTGTGCATGTGTGTTCTCTTAAATATGGTCGTTATCATGAATTTGTCTTTTTTGTCATTGGCTTTCCTAGGAATTCTAAATACCCATTTTAGGCTATTTAATTTGTTAACACTCCTGGTTTTGCTCTTCCCTTTCTGAGATCTCATTGTCCTCCTTAACAAGCTGCCCCCTCCTCTCCCACATGGTACCCTTGAGGACGGCCAGTAGAGTCAGGCAGAGCATGAAAGTGTACTAAGCTCTATGCACACGGAAGCCAGACACAATGAAGATGAAATCACTCTAATGTCCATCACACAGATGAGGTAATCAAAGCAGAGAGAGGTTATGAAACTCCCAAAGAAAAGCTGGACAGGTGTCTCTGTGTTTTGTGAAGCTGCTACGGATTCTGGTGCTTATGATGAACTCTGCAAGTCCACAGACCATCCAACTCTAAACTCAGTCTGAGAGGGAGGGATAAGACGTTTTCTGTATTGAGGAGTTAGTTACCCAAGGAAACCAGCATAAATCACAATGAAAGCACCGTCTTAGAACCATAAGGATAGATTTTCTGGAAGTTCTGGAAGCTGAGAGTCTGGAACCAAAGTATCCACAGGCCTCTGTTCCTCAGAAGGCTTTTGGTAAAAACCTATGCCATGAACCCCCTGGGTTTCCGCTCAACAGGCAATCATTGTCAGTTTGGAGCTTGTATCCATAAGGTTCCATCAATATCATTCCAGTTCCATTTCATCCACACATGGCTTCTTTTTGCCTTTGCATGAGGCAAGAGTCACTGGGCCTCCAGCCTGCCATGAACCCAGTTTGCAGTCACTCCAAGGCCCTTCCTTCCTTGTGCCCACAGAGACCCTATTCCCAAAGATGGCTGTATTGGGAGGCTCTAGGTGAGCATGGATTTTGAGAAGAATTTCTTCAGTTCACTACAGATGGCTACAGCTGAAAAGAGTGACTTTGTGTTTACTGTTTGCACTGCATCATAGTCAACAGCAGGCACACACCTCTTCCTCAATGTCAGGCACACTCCTCTTCCTCTTCCTCAGGCGCACGCCTCTTCCCCTTCCTCAGGCCCACTGGGAGAGTGTTTCTGCGGTACACTGTCGAAATCACCCATATTCTCATCACGGCACACTCCTCCTCCAGAGGAGTTACAGGTTCTTACCTTCCTCTGCTTTGGAGAGCTATATGGGACCTCCAATAATATGCTAAGCTGAATCCTTTATAGATACCTGAGCTTCTCAATATAATGCATACTTGATTCTCTTGATAAAAAAAATATCTCAATATAAAAATCAACCTAAGAGACCTAGAGAGATGTCAAGCAATTGTGAAGACCTGAGTTCAATCACCTAGAACCCAAATAAAAACCAGATATAATTATTATTGTAGTCTGCAAGGTTCACAACTGAGTATGATTGATGACTACTTCTCTCCTGCAATACTGCACATAGACCCTTCCAGCACTAGGAAAGCTAGCCAGGCTAGTGTCATCTTGATTCCTATATGTGCTGTGGTTCAAAGAAGTGATGTCTTCAGCAACAGGGTCTTACTATCAAGTTCCGTAGCATTGGCCTATAATGTTTGGGGACTATGCGTCCTCACTGACCAAGGACTCCAAAAGAGGTAATCCATTCCTGGCACTAAAATTCTTATTTGTTAGCCTCTGATGTCTAACAGAGCCATTTCTGCCCCACTGTAGGGTAATTTCATTTTATATATATAGTGAAATTATATATATATAAAATCAGGAATCTTAAAAGTTCTTATTAATAAAATCAAACCTGAGGCCAGTTATTGGGGTGAATGCTGGAAGATCAGAGAAGCAGAACAGGCCACAGCCACCTCACCTTGCCAATTCCTCAGCTGATCCTATTTCTTCAGACAGGAAGCCTCTGTGTCCTCATCCCAATGGCTCTCAGCTGAACTGCTGCTCGAAAGACTGAATGCTTAACCAGTCAAAAGCTTCTAGCTCCTGGTCCTCACACCTTATAAATCTTTCTGCTTTCTGCCATCACTCCCTTTGGATTAAAGGTGTGTGTTGCCATGCCTGGCTGTTTGCAATGTGGCCTTGAACTCACAGAGATCCAGAGGGATTTCTGCCCCTGGAATGCTAGAATTAAAGGTGTGTGCTACCACTGCCTATCCTCTATGTTTAATATTGTGGCTGTTCTGTTCTGTGACCCCAGATAAGTTTATTAGCATGCACAATATTTCGGGGAACACAATACCACCACATATATATATGGAAGCTAATGCCTGAAAGGACATGGCTACTGGTGGAATAGTGGCATGAACATCAGTGGAGTAACCAACTACTTCCTGCTTGGATTTAAGCCCTACTCCACAGAATGAAACCCATAGCTGCTACCATTATGAAGTCAAGAATCGATGGCTGCAGAGGTCATAGACCCTAATAGAGAACCTGCTACTATTATTCTGCCACGTTGCCATAGTAGTAAATCAATTTCTAATGACTTATTATTACACCCATAGAGCAAAGCATCTCTCAACCCTCGGATGAAAAGCTTCCATCTGCAGTAAATAGTGACTGAAACAGAGAACCTCAACCAGCTAAGGTATAGAGAATAACAGACTGCAGAATGCTCTCCCTCCGCAGAACACATCTGCTGCGCCCTTTCCCCTCAGGGCTCAGGGATCATTGTACCATTGTGCAAAGAGGGAGGAAAGAGTGGAAGAGCCTGGATGGTCGATGATGACGAAGAAACAGTATCTTCTGGACACAGCAGGGCAGCTGCACAGAGGACCTCACAGCAGTTGTGACAACACACACAAGATCTGTGCAAGCCCAAGTCAGACCACATCCTAGCATGGAGATGGGGAGTTGGGTGTGAAAATTCACCTCTCACTGGGGGGTTATTGATGACTGTTAGCTACCAGAAAAGGAGGAGACAGTTTTCACTAGGAGTGTAGCCTCTGTTGAATAAACTGCAACACAGGAGAAAGCCACACAGCTAATGATAGTTGGGTGGCAAAACTGGTCTTTGTGGGTTTAAAAAAAAAACCAAAAGGACATAAATTTAAGAAGGGACAGAAGGGGATGTGGATTTGGTAAGAGTTGAAGGAGGGGAGAGGTGAATGTGATTAAAACATGTTGTGTGGGACTCTCAACTAATAAAAAATTTAATATAAAATATAAATAAAAAATAAGATCTTTCCAAAAATCCAGGCACATGGATACATTCTTATGATCCTAACACCTGAAAGGTAAAGAGAAGGAGTCTGGAGCTGGCTGGACTGCTAGGGAGTTTTTGATTAAATTGAGCACTCACACAAAATTGGCCCATCGGAGATTAAAACAGGTGACAGGATGTAAGTGACATGGTGAGATGGGACGAGCAGTCAGGCACTTGCTGTGCAAGCCAGATGACCTGAGTTCAACCCACAGAGACGTGTAAGAAGAGAACTGACCTGCAATGCTGTCCTCTGGCCTCCATGTGTGTCATGGCATGCATGTGCTGTGCCATATTGCACATGCAGACAACATGTGAAATCAGTGAAAATTTAAAAAGAAGAAAGGGCAAGAATGGAAAACATGCAGTTAATCTCTTCATCACCCTACCCTATCCATCCATCTGTCCATCTGTCTATCGGGCATCTAAGCCATCTTTTCCTTATCTTTTTCTTTGTCTGGGTACATGAGTGAGTGAGGGGTACAAGTGTGCCCACGTGTGCATGAGCAGGTGGAGCACAGAAGACAGTCTCAAGCATTGTTTCTTGGGGAGCCTCCACTCCCTTTGAGACAGGGTCTCTCCCTGGCCAGGAACTCACTACAGAGGCTAGGCTGGCTGGGCTGGGAGGCCCAGCAGCCCATCTGTCATTGCAGGGACCAGTGTTGAAATTACAAGCACATGGCACTGCAGACAGTCCCTCCCCGGGGGTTGGTTCTAGGGATGGAACCCAGGTCCTTATTCTTGCAGTGGAAGCACTTCACTAAGCCACCTCCTTCACGCTGTTCCTTCTCTTTCTATGCAAGAAATGGACACCGTAATTTGTGTGTAAATTAGGTAAGCCCATGAGAACAGATTTCTGTTTGACAGTAGTGCCTGGCACAATGGGATTGCTTCTCTCAATGTGCTGCATGGCGGGGTATGACATCTCAAACTTTCACGTCTTCTGCTTCTCTTTTGTACCCTCTCTCTACAAACCCTACAGAAAGGCTAAGGTTTAATAAAACTCAAACAAGAACAGGCCCTGCATATGGATAAAACTAGTCCTTGTCTATCAAAGTTAATAGCTTTTGAAAACCGATAGAAAGCCGGGCGGTGGTGGCACACCTTTAATCCCAGCACTCGGGAGGCAGAGCCAGGCAGATCTCTGTGAGCTCAAGGCCAGCCTGGGCTACCAAGTGAGTTCCAGGAAAGGCACCAAAGCTACACAGAGAAACCCTGTCTCGAGAAAAAAAGAAAGAAAGAAAAAGAAAAGAAAGAAAACCGATAGAAATGAGCAGGAAGGAGGAGACATCTTGAATGCATTTGGTTTAGTTCAGACTGGCAGATCATGGCAATGAGCTTAGATTTTATTATGGAATGGTGAGAAGGCAGAGGAGATCTTGAGCAAGGTTGACTTTTTGATTCCCATGGGAAAAGACCACCATAGTTCCTATAAAAAGGAATTACGGAGGAATACAGAAGAAGCAATTAGACACATTGAGAGCCTTCTAGCCTCACTGGAGATGACAGACGGAAAAAGTTAGACCCAGAGTGGGTATTTGGAAGTCATAGCTGGCTGATGGACAGGAGGTTGCACACGAGGGCAAAGTTCAAGGGCATCTCAAAGTTTGTAACCCAAGCTTCTGACTACCCAGGGATAAAGAATCTGTCTGCTGAGTAGGGAGACTAAGGGGAGAGTGGGTTAGAGTGACAGGTGAAAGGTGACTTTCTAAACATGGGGAATTAAAAGTCAATCAGGTGTGCAAACAGACACAGAAAGCAGGCTGGCCATATGAGCTCAGGAAGAAGATGAAGGGCTGGAGTCATAGT